TGGTATCTCATTGTGGTTTTGATTTGCATTTCCCTGATTACAAGTGATGTTGAACATTTTTTCATATGCCTGTTGGCCATTTGCATTTCCTCTTCAGAGAAGTTTCTTTTTAGCTCTTCTGCCCATTTTTTGACTGGATTATTTTCTTTGTTTTTGTTGAGCCTCATCAGCTCTTTGTAGATTTTTGTGATCAGTCCTTCATCAGTAGTGTTGTGTGCAAAAATGTTCTTCCAGTTGGTGGGGTTTCTCTTTGTTTTTGTTATTGTCTCTTTTGCTGTGCAGAAGCTCTTTAATTTGATGTAGTCCCAGCTGTTTATCTTTGCCTTCACTATCACTGCTTTGGGTGATGTGTCTGTAAAGATGTCTTTGATGTGCATATTATGTAGTTTTTCTCCTATATTTCCTTCTATATATATTATGGTTTTAGGTCTTATGTCTAGTTCTTTAATCCATTTTGAGTTGGCTTTTGTGCATGGTGTTAGGTAGTAGTCAAGCTTCATTCTTTTTGCATGTAGTGACCCAGTTTTCCCAGCACCATTTATTGAGCAAACGTTCTTTGCTCCAATGCATATTCTTTGCTCCTCTGTCAAAGATTAGTTGACCACAAATCTGTGGATTTATTCTGGATTTTCTATTTGATTCCATTGGTCTGTGTGTCTGTTCTTGTTCCAATACCATGCAGTTTGATGATTATGGCTTTGTAGTATAGTTTGAAGTCTGGGAGTGTGAAGAGGCAAGGGTTACTTTAGATTGGTTGGTCATGAAAGGTCATTCTGTGGACATGACATTGAGGCGAAATCCCAGATGATAAGACAGAGCCAGCCATATAAATCTGAGGTCACAACAGCTGGACTAAGGTCCAAGGCAAAAACTTGATGTTTTCAAGGTGTAGAAAGCAGACCAGTCTGGCTACATGTGATGAGTGAGGAGAAGTGTGCCAGGATGTGAGGTAGACTGGACGACAGGGTTCATCTAGACTGTGCTTAGGATTGTGTTTTAAGTGCAGTGGGAGCCATTAGCAGGTCTCAATATCAATTTTTATAGGATTACTCTGGTCACATGATAGAGAGTAGATAGTTGGTGGAGGAAGGGAGAGAGTAGCGAGGATTTACGGTGGTGACCCATGTAAGCAAGCATGACACTTGGGTGCCTGGAGAGGTGGTAGAGGTGGAGGAGGTGGAGCTCGCTCACAGGCTTTGCCAGTGGATTGGCTAAAAGAGTTGAGAAGTGGTTACAGGGAAAGAGAGAGAGGAGGAAAGAGGAGGGGAGAGAGGACTTCAGATTGATGGTGCCCTCTTCACTCTTGAGGTATGAGTTAGGGCAATAATCTTATGTCTGTATGCTTCAATGTCCATTATAAAATGAAAAAAAAAGTTACCATTTTCACATGGTGGTTATGAATAAATAACTTCATGTATATGAAATGCTTTAAGTTTGGAACATATTGAGTTTGAGATGTTTATTACACCTCCAAGTCTAATATTGAATAAGCAGTTGGATATACAAGTGTAGAATTCAAGAGTGTGATCAAGGGGGTATATAAATTTGGGAGTTGTTTTCTTTATGTATCATCCATATGGCACAAACTTGCATGAGATCACCAAGGGAATGAGGGTAGAAAATGAAGAGATAAGGATTAAGAATTGAGTTGTGTCGGCATTAAGAGGCAGGAGATGTGTAGGAATTAGCAGAAGATGAACATGAGTCTTCAGAGAGGATGGCTACAGGGCAGGAGCATATGGAGCCCTGGTAACCAAGTGGAAAAGGCCCTGAGAAAAGGATGCACTATGTTCAAAGCTACTGATAGGGCAGATAAGTCTTACGTCCTTTCTCATGGAGAAGAGAGGCAGGAGTCAGCGCTGTGTGCTGGCGTAGAGGAGTTGTGGGAAAGAAGCTGTCAATAGCATCCTCAGAGGAAAAGGAAATGATGTCGTCCCCACCCTGCCCCCCTTCAGTTCTGTTTTCTCAAGAAAGAGCAATGAGTAGCGTGAAAGGTCACTTTGTCAGTGAACAGTAGAATACCTCTTGACCCTTTTGACAGTTATGTTAAATTGGTTCTAAATGACCTTCTAGGAGCTCCAAGAGATGAAATTTCTTTCCCCCTTTTTCATGTGGAACTTAGGATCTCTTGAATTCTTGAAATTTTGATTACGAATTCCAACAAACAATGCCCAGATTCCATAGCCTCTCTGCTAACACATTGCTCATTTGATTATAGAAGACTTTGGGCAACAAAACCAGGTCGGTTATTACACACAATCCCAGCCTTGGTAATTTTTTGCCAAATGGTCACCAGCTGTACTTCCTTCCTTCCTGGAAATGATATAAAGCCTCAAGGCTATTTTTGCTTCAAGGAGATTATGGCAGAACATATGGACTCTTCATTCTCCAGGAGCAGAAGAAAAGTCTTATCTTTGCTTAAGTGAGCCACTTGCTGAATGCCAGAGACTCAGGGCAACTGTGAATCCTTGTGACTTGGGGGTTGGGGAGCATTAAGGGGGAGCCACAGCATAGGGCAGCTGACCCTAGAGCAAATCTGATGCTTTTCCATTCTGTGAGTGGAATTTTGCCCCATTTGTCATGCTGAGTTGGCTTTGTTAATCCTATACAAATCCCTGTGTACATTAATATTTTACCTTGAACCAAGGCAATAGACTCCTAGGCTATTGGCATTCTGAGTGTGAATAGATATTTAGTGATGGATATTACAAATTTTCAGCAGTGTAAATATTCCTGTCTCAACCAGGACACATGTGAAAGCAAAACAGAAGTTTTAATAAATTATGAAAAAAAAAAGAGACTGTTAAATTCCCTTATTTAAAAGCATATTCATCTACAAGTCATTAGTTTAAAAACAGATTGGTCTATAAGTAAAACAATTTCCATTACAATTCTTTGAGCAACAAGAGAGGTTTTCTCTAGAAGACTAAATTAGTCACTTACTGCATTATTTCGGGGTAGATTATGCTCTGACTTACCATAGAATCCCCAAATTAATTTTTGTTATCATGGAAACTATAATAATTTCTAGCTAAGTAAGAAATTGAAAAGTTAACTTTATTGTTTGGATCCTGTGTCTACTGATGTTCTAAATTAAACAGGGTTGAGTTTGCCTTTTGGCATTTATTATTTTTTTTAATCAGACCAAGATTAGGTTTATTAACCTCAGGGCACAGGATCTATTTGTTTCTCTGGAGGGGTGAGCAAGGTTAGTGCATTAGAGGGAGGGGACATGGCTTAGCAGAGTTGCGGGTTGTGCCACTGGTACTTATTGACCCCTGAAAATTACTTCAATTTCTCTAAGCCTCTGTTTCTTCATCTCTATCCTGGGGAAAATAACCTGCATCCCAGAGTTATTGTGAAACGCAAGTAACACATGCTATGTAAAGTCCTTACTGTGCCTGCAGCCTAGGAGCATGGAATAAAGGCAGATAATAGCATTGCTCTGTGACCTCCAACCTGCAGCCTGGTCAATGTGAGAAAGGAAGCATGGTGGGTGAGCATCCTTGCTTCTCAAGAGTTTGCTGCACCCTTGTCTAAAACAGCTTATCCTCAACTAACCCTCCCTTTCTCGCAACTGAGGCATCAGGGTTGTGGATGAGGGATCATAGGAGGAGGTAGGGGTATAGCCCACCTGAAAAGTGGGAGCCACGCCTCTCAGCCACCACCAGCTGAGGCCACACCAGCATGAAGCAGCCAGAGCTCAGGTGGCTTGTCCCTGTGACAGAATGTTAGACTTCCTTGTAGCCTTGTCAACAGGCCAGAGATGTTAGAACTCATAGCTGGTCGTGCGTGCGTGTGTTTGTGTTTTAATCAACACCGATAGGGCATTCATATCGGGTCCCCTCCTTCTTTATTGGGCTCCTTTCACACTCAGAATTTCAACATTCCTTCCTCCTGTTCAACTCTCCCTTTCTTTGGGATTTCCAACAGGCCAGCTTATCCTGCTTCCATTTCCTCGGGAGCTGGTGGTGCCTGCTACTTGCCTACTTGATTAGATGTTTTGAATGCTATATCCATGTTGATTAAAGCATGCACACATGCACACACTACCAGTTACTAGTTCCAATATCTCTGGCTTGTTGACAAGGATATAAGCAAGTCTAACATTCTTTCAAAATGCAAAATCCTTTTTAGCTCTTCTGCCCATTTTATGACTGCCTATTTTATGCCCATTTTTGTTTTTGTTGAGTCTCATCAGCTCTTTGTAGATTTTTGTGATCAGTCCTTTATCATTAGTGTTGTGTGCAAAAGAAAAATACCGGATGGTCTCACTCATAGCAGGAATTTAGAAAAACCTAAATTAGGGACCAGGAAAAAAACTAATTATACTAATAAAAAAACTTATTATACTAATAAAGTAAAAATCAAAATCAACAAGCAACTATAAACCAGAGACACACTACGGGGGTGGGGAGGGGGGCAGAGGAGGAGGGATTAGGGTCAAAATAAGGGGGGTGGGAATTGTATGGGGAATGCAACCAAGATGAAAATGCGTACATTGTGCAAAAATGAAAAATGATTTAAAAATATATATAAAATAACATATTAAAAACTGCAAAATTCTTTTTCCCAAGAAGTTTGCATGAACTGGATGATTAAAGCAACATTTTTATGTTTGACATAAGAGAGCCTTGACATTTCGCTCTCTGTGTACCTTAAGGTCACCACCCTATGTAAACTTGTTACCCTGACCAAGTCAACGAAGAGTTTTGACTTCTGTTGCCCTCCCATTCCAATTAAACAAAACCAAGAGTGTAACCACTGCCTTTACACTTTCCTTAGAAATGTCCTCTTCTCCCCTTGTTCTCTGCCTCTTGGTGTCCCTTATAACAAGTGCCCGGCACTTTTTGTGCCATGGGATTTGGAAATTTGTTTCCTGACCATGAGGATCTGTAACTAATCTCTGGAATCTCTGTGTTTGAGATGGAAGAGGTTCCAATTGACACAGAATCGACCACTTATTGACTTAGAAGAAGAAAAATACAGAATGACAAAGACATGATCAGGATTTATAGTGTCTTGTTCCAATTGTCTCTAAGCTATACCTGTCGGGGAAGTCACCCTGGAAGAAACCTGTTGCCGGTGGAAGGGGCTCCTCTTCTGAATTGCACTGTCCTGGGTGGTCATTTCATTGTAAGGAAGCTGGCAGTTTTGTTTGCAGACTTTCTGGATTTCATTAGCAGTCTGGTGGTGACAACTAGTTTAGCAGTTTCCTCCTGTCATTGCTTACGGGGATGGTGCTGAATACTCGGAGGTGGCATGAGGCTCTGGGGATGACAGCAGCAGCTCCATCGGTGTGCCCTCACCCCGGCCCTCAATTGTCACAGCAGCAGGTCAGGCCTCAGGGAAAGAGAACATTGCTGATTAGTGTGCTTGGCACATTGGGCAGACTATAGGGGGAAAAGCCATAGCGTGATCTCCATTGATTTCCCAACAATTACATTCTCCACGCTTCCAACTTGCCCCTGTGCTTCTGCTTTATCTTCTGTTATAAAGAATCTCTTTTGGTCTTTCCCTTTAGGATTCTTGCAGGTTCCTTCTCGGTGCCTATTACTTCATTCCACCCCTGCACTTGAGCTTCACCTCTCTTTGCTTCACCCTTTCAATCCTCCAGAATAAAACCTTGGCTCTTATTTCCTGATGCCTTTATCTTCTCTTTCAACCGCTTATTGGAAAGAAAAGTAAGTCCTCAGAGCAAGTTGTATTTATTGATGAATCAAACTCTCTGGGCCTTAGTTTGTTTTCTCATCTGTAAAATGGGGGTAATTACAATTGTATTATTTACCTTATAAGGTTATTGTCAGGATGACAATAGCAAGATAGAACATAGAAAATGCTCAGAATAGTTGTGGGTTTCTGATTTTCATGGAATAAAGGCATCATCCTCCCCTCCTTCATTACCAGCATCTCTGGGAATTCACAGAATCTACAAGCAGGGGCCACTTGTACTTGCAATGTTAGGATCATTGGTAGGTCCTATGGCCCACAACCCATCTCTCTTCTGAAACTTATTTCCTGTAGGGCAAATTCCTCTTTTATCTTACATTCTGGATTTTCAAGGAATTTTTTTTTCCTTTTCCATAGAGTTTCACTACGCTCGTTTATTTATGGCATTAGATTCAACAGTGCAGTGTGAGGAATGTTAGTGCACTTATTCCTTATCAGTGTGCATTGAGACAGGGGTGGTAAACCCTCCTTCCCATATTTTACCTATGATGACTTTTCAGATCTTACAGAGTGCAAATTTTGCTTAAGATAACCTGCCAGTTGGAGGCAGATCTCACACTCAAACCCAAGTCTTCTGACTCCAAGTCCAGTATAATTTTTTCTATGTGGAGCCATTTTTTGAGTGTGGAGGAGTAAGGATATTTAATTCTCTATCTGGGCTTTTATCAAGAAGACAATAAATTTTAAGCTCTTAGAAGATAGATTTAGTTGTAATTCTCTGCATAAAGTACCTCTGAGGTACTTTAGGACCTTAGTGAGGACAATGGACTAAGGTCATAATATGGATGGGGCTTTGTCTAGGCTAGAAAGGTACTCCTAGGTTTGTACATGCAAGTGAACCCCATTCATTGAGGGGTACCATATTTACCCAAGAATTGTAGGTGGGTGGAGGAGACACAAAAAAGCTAGTCTTGCCCTCTGTCTAACAGTGGCTGTTCCTGAAAGAATCCCTTTTGAATCCACCCAGCCCAAAACCCAGGTAAATCTTTGTTTGTACTACTTGGGTAGAATAACAGTGGCACTGAGTTCGTCCACTCTTTTATTCATTCATTCATTCATTCTTCATCAGACATTCATGCAATGCCAGTTGTGAACCTGGTACCCGGTTAGTCACTGAGGTAACAGGGATGAAGGATCCTGGTGAATGGATCCTCCAACTTCCAGGTTCCTATTTGGGAGGTGGAGAAAGAGAAGGGGGAGGGAAGAAGTTGGGTGAGTCAGATGAAGAGGAAAGCATTCTGAATCCAGGGGAAGCAGATCTGCTTAAACCAAATTTACAAACCCTGCATTTCTGCCCGTGGTGTTATAAGCCTGTATACATTAATAAATACTGGGAGACATGTCACAGTGTCACTGCCCACAGACCCTCTGCATGATAGAGAGCGTATCAGTAGCCCAGCATGAACTTGCAAAGTCCTGGACTGTAAGGGAAGATAACTCCCTTTCCTCAAAGATCTCAAGATGATTTACTGATTCAACTGCATGTTTAGTTCCCTTCATATCTGGGTAGGAAGGCAGATGTTCAATAAGAATAGAACGTTGAATCAGCAAGGAACTTGGTAAAAGATCATTAAGACAACAGGCAAGAATAGGGGAGTTAGAACTTAGCTCTACCCCCATCTTTTAGATGAGCTCTAAATGTGAAATATGCACATGCACACACCACAAAGGAATATTATTCAGCCCCAGTGTTGCTGTTTGTGACAACATGAATGAACCTTGAGGGCACTAAGCTAAATAAGTCAGACAGAGAAGATAGATACTGTATGATCTCACTTATATGTGGAATCTAAAAAAAAAACACACACACATAGATACAGAGAACAGATTGGTTCCCTGGTTGCCTCTGGTTACCAGAGGTGATGGGTGGATGAAATGGGTTTAGGTAATCAAAGGTACAAGTTTCTAGTTATCAGATAAATTAGTCCTTATTTTAGAGTTAATGGAGATGTAATTAATTACAGCATGCTGACGATAGTTAATAATACTGTAATGTGTATTAGAAAGGTGCTAAAAGAGTAGATCTTAAAAATGGCTCAGAACATGAAAATAATTGTAACTCTGTGTGGTGATGGATGTTAACTAAATTTATTATGGTAATCATGTCACAGGATATGTGAATCGAATCATTATGTTGTACACCTGAAACAAATACAATGATACATGTTCATTGCATTTCGATTTAAAAACAGAAAACCTTCACCTGCTCTGCTTGCTTTACTTCTTCTTCTCTTCAGCAGACCTGGTTTTGATTAAACAAAAGAAGAAGAAGAAGAAGAAGAATATGGGAAAGGGAAAAAAAAAATAAACAACACACTTTTCAGAATCTTTTGCCCTAATTGTGACACTCACTGAGTAAGCTCACTGATGGCCTAACTCCATGCAAATAAATTGCCTGTGAACCTTCTCCTGAGCCCAGGTGTTGATAACAGCAAGTACACACCTCACACCCTTGCTTATTTGGTTTCAAAATCCAAAGCTGTTCTTTTGACTTTGTCACTAACACAGATACTGGCAAATGCCTGCCCTTTTATGGAAGTACGGGCCTCAAGCAGGGATGTCTCCTAGCCCCAAAATCTACAGCAAGAGCTCTCAGTGGGTTATTATGTTTCCAGTAAGCATTTTTAAATATCCCCGAAATGTCTTGATAATGGGCTTAGATAGTTTAATTTCCATTTAAGCCGTAGGCAGGGGTTGGTATGTTGGTTGAAGTTTTGTGGTGTTATAAGACACTCAAGAAATATGTGTGGCAAAGTATTCCAGGTATGTTTAAATTGTCAGTTATTGCTTATTCTGTTGTGTCTTCAAAGAATGTTTTTGTTAAGGAGGTCACAAGGATTTGGCTTACATCTTGACTGAAGAGAATAGTGGAAAACTACTTCCTCTAGATTTGAGAAGAAAGTAGTCACAGGAGTTTTTGCACTTTTAGCTGATAGCAAAGAGTCTTTCCGCCAGGGAAGGGAGAAAAAGGGAGGAACAGGCATGGGTGGGTGGGGGTGGTGGCAAGGGAGGAAGGGACTTCGCACCAGGCAGCAGGCAGACAGGCACTGGAGGGACCCATAAGGACAAGTTCTCATTTTGGCAGCTGGCTGGGGAAACTTAGTCAAAGGTCATTTGGGTCATCCAGAGATTTGAGAACAAACCATGACTACCAGTCATGACTCAGGGTAAGCTACAAACAAAGTAAATCTTTTGTCTAGGGAACAGTGCCATTCCACAGTGTTTTCACACACATGTATTAAATCCAAGCTTCTCAGCCCTCACTGCTGAGGAGAATGAGGGATGTCTTTTCTAAGGCCACTAACTCACGGTGGATGCAAATCTTCTCAGAGGTGAGCACTTGTAATCAAATTGGGAGGAGGACCCCATGATGGCAGTAGGTATAAAACTGTGAGGAATTAGTGAGGAAGGTACTGAATTGTACCTGGTTTAGAACTTTAAATTTCAATCAAAAATATCGCACTTTTATTGAGCACTTATTATGTAGCAGGTGTTAGGCTGTGTACTTGGAATAAATCATTCCTTTTATCCTTGCAATTCCTTTGAGTAGAAACATACTGTTTTTAAACTCAGTATTTCAGATGAGGGGAAAAAAGCATAAAGAGGTTATACACAATTAGTCACATAGAAGGTGGAGAAGTCAGATACAGGCAGAAAACTGGTGAGTCCTTGATCTTACCCCCATCCCCCACCTGCCTCTGAACACATTATCTGCTTGGCCCAACCTTCAGTGCAGGATTTAGTTATGCTGCTTGACTCTAGTTCTAATGGAGTTATACTTTTTTTAAAAAATTTATTATTTATGCATACAAGAACTGGGGTACAGGCCAGAGGTGTGGGGGGTGAGAGGATTCACCAGAGACAGAGTGGGGAACAGAACAGGCAGACTGACTGAAATACACTGCTGAGGGGAGCAGCGGGTGAGACAGGAGAGGTCTGCTGTACCATGTGGGTAGCTCCCTGGTCGGGGCTTGAGCTCGTGCTACAGTGGCTGCAGATAGCTTCATAGGTTGTGTCTTAACCCCTTGAGCCACCAGGGAGGGCCCTAATGGAGTTATACTTTTATAAAATTGTAGTAGCTTCATGATTATAATTCAGATCTTAGATTAACACATGTGTGTGGCATAGGAGACTGGTAACATGATAGATAAAGAAAGTGTATAAGCCAGGCAGCCCAGGAACTTAAGGTGAGGCTCGTCTCCAGCATCAGTAAGACTAATCATGAGGCTGAAAACTTTAACCATTCTGGGCCTCAGTTTTTTCATTTGCAGTTGGACAGAGAGACCCCACTGTCATCTGTGATAGGATACTCAAATTCTAGGAAAAGTTAACTGAAACTGCTACCTAAAGTTATGGAGGGGCATTCAGTGAAATGGATGCAAAGGTTCATGTTTCAATAACATGGATTTACTGTGTTTAAGCTAATTTTATTTCTAACTAGTGTAGTCAAAATAATTACGCAAAACATGGGCAAAACTAAAGTTGAATAGAAGGTGAAGATTTAAAGTGAAAAAGTAAAAATCTTATTTCTCTGTTTCTCCCCTGAACTTCCTCACCCCCACCCCTCTACTGAGATATAAGTACTGTTTTTTCCTTTTAGAAATCAGCTGTGCACATCCAGCTATGCAATACATTTTATATGAATTTATGAAAGACTTAGTTTCTTTAAATTATTTTAATTACAAAAGCAATATGTGACTTTGTAGAAATATGTGCACTTTGTAGAAAAAGTCTTCAAATAAAATGTCCTTCTAAGAAAAGCACAAGACTTTAAATTTATGCATATTGAATTTTATTTCCTTCCACTGAAAAATGAATAAGGCACTCTGCTGGGGAATATATTTGAATTGTGAAAATATAACAGCCAACATTATAGAAGCATCATAGTATTAAAATGAGCCTTCATTTTGTTTTAGTTCTTTTAGAAAATGACAACAAAAGACATTTAAGGCATTCTTGCTTAAAAGTACTTTCATGTGATTATTCAAGTTTTGAGGTCCCAAATACTTCTCCATTTCCTTCTAAATGAGTTTTGACTGTTAAGTGTTGTATTTTGAAAAAACCTCTGAAGGGCGTCCCCTGTATCTTTCCTTCTATTTGTTTTTCATATAGTTGATGGGATTTGGTCATATCATTTTGATTCTTTTGTTTTCAATAATGAATTTAAAGATAGAGAAGTATTAGGGGCTTTCCTAAATTGACCAAATCACCCCATCCTTTATCTTGTTTCTCTGCCTCACTGCAGATCAGCGACACTTCCTATAAAGACCAGTAAGTGAAACCATATGATTTTGAGCTGTATGATTTTGACTCCACTCTACATGATAGACAAAATGCACGTGACTGGGGTTAGTTTCCTTCACATTGCCCCAGTTTGTTGGTGCCTAAGGTACCCCTTTCCTGAGCTAGACTTAGCATTATCAATGATTCCATTCGTTTTTAACATCAGGAAATCAAATGTTAGTGAGGGAGACTGAATCCATGTCATGTGTCAGCATAGGTGAGGGCCAGTTGAAGATATTTTCAGTATTACCTAAAGGTTTTTTTTTGGAAGCCCCCCCCCCCAATAGAGGGTCCAGGTGCAGCCCATATCCTGCCCCAGAAAGGCCAGGGGGGCCTGTTGAAACATACATCTTTGGGCCCCATTCCTAGAGTTTCTGATGCAGTAGGTCTAGAGTGGGGTGCCAGAATTTGCCCGTTTCTGTTGATCTAAGGCACACACTTTGAGAATCACTGATCCGGCACATTCAGAAGCCATGAAAAGAGAAAAGTAGATGACCAGTTTGGCAGAATTAGTGTCCTGACTGGCTGTTTTATACACTGCATTTCAGCTACTGAAGGCAAGGAGAGATAGCTCATGCTTCAGTGAAGTATGTGGAATGTGTATACCCATTTTATTTGTTCATTGGGGTGATGAACCTTTAAGCACTCAACACAAAATTATGTCCACATGTGCTTTGAATTGTGTTTCTTCTGTTATTGTTTTGTTTTTCAGATTTTAAAAAAGATGAGTATGATTAGTTAGTTATATTCTTCCCATTTAACCACTTTCCACATTTCACTTTTAAAATGAAATCATCCTTCTCGCAGTTAACTAATGGAAAGTTGTTCAACTTGCCAAGCAAGGTTCCACTGTCCCTGAAATAAATTTTCCGAAGAACTGGAAACTCTGTGCAGCTTTTATACAAGAAGCAGAATGGAAATGTTCATATTTATGTTACTCTGAGGCATATTTTCCATGGTTTGATATATAAATAATAGCCATCCATTGTATCTGAAGACTTTCATTTGACTCTCTAAGTTGAACAATTCCCTTTGGGATTTATTTTCATCTTACTTTTAACCTCCTTAAATATTATTTAAAATTGCTTTTTGGGGGCATGCTTGGTGGTGCAAGGGGTTAAGACACAGCACTATGAAACTATCCACAGCCACTACAGCATGAGTTCGATCCCTGGCCAGGGAGGTGACCCATGTGGCACAGCAGACCTCTCCTGTCTCACCTGCTGCTCCCCTCAGCAGTGTATTTCAGTCAGTCCACCTGTTCTGCTCCCCGCTCTGTCTCTGGTGAATCCTCTCACCCCCGCCATACCTATGACCTGTACCTCAGTTCTTGTATGCATAAATAAATAAATCTTTTTTAAAAATTAAAAAATAAAATTGCTTTGTTTACAACTATTTAAAATAATTGATATCGGGCCTCCCCGGTGGCGCAGCGGTTGAGCGCTGGGTTGCGAAGCTGCGCGCGGCCTCTGCGGCGCCGGTTCGATCCCCGGCTGCTCCCCGGCCACCAGAGGAGGGTCCCACATGGCGCGCAGACCTCTCCTGCCGCCCGCTGCTCCCCTCAGCAGTGTACTTCGGTCCTTCTGCCTGCTCTGCTCCCCGCTCTGGCTCTGGTGAATTCTCTCGCCCTCCCGCGCTTCTGACTATACCCAGTGCATGTATAAACAAAACAAAACAAAAGAAACCAGCAAACAAATAAATAAAGCATGCCTCTATTAAAAAAAAAAAAAAAAAAAAAATTTTAAAATTTTAAAATAATTGATATCATGATCATATCACCTAACATTAATGAGTCGTCACGTATTAACCATTGTGAAGAGATTGCAGGTTGGGGCCTCCCCTGGTGGTGCAGCGATTGAGCTCTGGGCTGCGAAGCTGCCCAAAGCCTCTGCAGTGCCAGTTCAATCCCCGGCCACCGGCGAGGGTCCCACATGGTGCGCTGACCTCTCCGGCAGCCCC